CAACGTTGATTTAACATCATGTGCTATCTGGGCAGTGACTGAAATGTTTGCTGACTTTTCTGATTTTGCATCTGATAAGGAATTTTTACATTGTTCTCTTGCTGAATAGTTTGGCAACATCCTTCCTATATAGGCCAAAATGTTGTCTTACATGTTTTTGTTTCCACCAAGGTTCACCAAGAACCTGTCCCCGGACAAGATCAACCTGAGCACACTGAAGGGGGAGGGGCACTTGTCCAACCTGGAGCTGGATGAAGAGGTTCTTCAGAACATGCTGGACCTGCCGACCTGGTTGGCCGTCACACGGGTCTACTGCAATAAGGCCGCCATTAGGGTACATCCTTACTGATTCATCCAGCCTGGTTGTGAAGCTTGTCTAACATGGTGGTCAGATTCCTTTAAAAAAAAAAAAGCAAAAACAACTCTTCACTAATAATGCAGATCCTTTTTTTTTTTTTTTTTTGCCTCTGTGCACTTGATGAAATGAATAGTGGCAGATTCATAAAGATAAGAAGTACTAGCGGCTCTGCTTTGAATGTTCTGGCCCCTGAGATTTGGACTGGTTGCTGATAATGGACAGGCCAGTTGTGATTCAGAGGCACACTTAAGGCTAGAGGCTACTGTGATTCTGAGTTATAGTGGCTGGTGTTTGCATAGCTGACAGGCCGACTGCTTTATGTTTCAAGAACCATTTCAGTGTTGGACACAAACAATTAGCTCTGTAGAGTTTTGTCTTACTTTACCCTTTTAGTTTAAGAGTTGTTTATTGATGCCAGATTTACTTACTGTATTTAAAAAGCAAAACTTTGAAATAGACTGTTGCAGGTTTGGTTATTATTTTCTCTGTTGCTGACATTATGCTTTAGAATGTAGCACCTTAGCTTTGGAGTACTCTTACAAGATAAATGTGTTTCTTAGTGTTATTTAAAATAATTTTAATTATCTGGTTGTGGGGAAATTGTTATTGTTAAAGCTTGGAATCTATGATAAACCCTTTTCAAGATACACATTTAAGTAAATGTGGTGCATAAATATTATGAGCTCAGCACAGGCTCATAATTTCAACTGAATTATTTAAAATTGCATTTTGATTGTGTGTTCTACTTAGAGATTCACTTTTATGAGACTTTTATTACATCTGTTGATTTGTAATGCATGTTCTGCAGGTTTCTTGATCATTTTTATAGTTTCAAATACAAAAGAAATAAAAGAAAAATTACATTTCACCTTCTATGCATTACCGTAAAAGTTTATAGCCTTCGTTGGATTTGGGCTAAACTCAAAACAAAGTGAGTTTATGCTGTTTGTTGGGTTTATAGACAATCATTTTTTCTATATAGGACCTATTGATAATCCGTCTGAACCAATCAAAGTAAAGTTTCTGTCATTCACCTAGTGGTCCAACATACTCAGTGTAGTATTAGTTACTCAGATCAGAGCAGGATAAAAGAGTAAAAATGTTTTACACATCAGATTTTCTGTGGTAAATTTGGACTGTTCTGTACCTCTCCGCTCACTAAGCCTTTGTGTCCAGTTGTGCACATCACTGTGTGACGTCTTCCTATTGTCTTTTCAGATACAATGGACAAAGTTGAAAACAAGTCCCATCTGCCTGGTAAGGATGACGATGAAATCCTTATTTGGAGTGAAGCTGCCTTTTTTTTTTCTCTCTCTCTTACATTAAAATATAACTGAACTCCGTCATGACTGTAGCATTTGTTTCTGCACTTTACTGCTCCAAATTTCAATATCGAGACATCATTAAAAACGTTAGATTACTTCTGGACTAGCACAAATTGTGTGCTGTCTCAATGTTTTGTGTAGTTCCTGGACAAAGTTGAGGTTGAGATGAGGACATGTGAGGAGCCCCGTCCACCTAATGGCCCCTCTCCTATTGCCATAACAGCAGGACAGAGGTAAGCCGTCCAACATCCTGAGCTGAAGTGTCTCAAATCGAGAACTATTTTACCTGTCACGTATGTATTTTCAGCGAGTACGGCTTTGCGGAGAAAGTGGTGGAGGGCATGTCTGTCCGGATCAACTCCATTACCATCAAGGTTCAGGCTCGTGCCTTCCACGCCTCCTTTGAGCTGTGGCAGCTGCAGGGCAACAGCCTCAACCCCAAGTGGCAGCGCAGTGACCTTCGCTACACCCGCGTCACTGACCCCAAGAGAGGAGAGGTAGATTGCTATGCGGCAGGCCTGCCTCTTTCTGCTCTCTACGCTGACGGCCATACCACAGCCAACTGAATTTCTGTCACTGAAGCCACATGTTCTTATTAAATCTGCAGTAAATCATTTAACCAGGTCAACATGATTTTGTTAGCTGCCGGGCTGAGAAAAGCCAGGATGAACAGTGAACCCTTGTAAACCACTGTATGTGTCCCTTCTTTCCTACTGTGGGGTTCTTACAGGCCCATTTTGATCAACAAAAAAACGGTGATGTTTGAATACTTGAATATATATTAATCTGATATTTTTGTTTTTGTTATTAGATTGGTGAGGAGTTTAGCAATAGCTGAGAAAACTAAGAATCCTTTTTCATTGTTTGCATGTTTTCAGAAAATTACAAACTGTGTTTTAAAAAAATCTGTAATTCTTTACTCTTTTATCATTGTCTCAATTTAAGGTGGTCCTACTGCTAAAAGTAGCTCTGTTTATCGTATTTGTTGCCACAAATGCAATAAAGATTTCCAGAGTCTGAAACGATGTTTTAAAGAATCCCTGTTTGATAGAACAACCTGTTGACTAGTTCACATATTTCAGACTTCGAATTAGACATGATCGACTGCAACAAAGTAAGAAAATTTACTTTAGCACCAAACTGAAGGCTAATGAAGGCAGGTTAATTATGCCAGTTTTAGCACAATTAACCTGCTGCTGTGGACAGCAATAAGGATTGCTGACAGTGTTTATATTGTGTACAATGCAGCTGCAAACAAGGCAATAGAAAACTGGTTCGGCAAGTGACAGATGTGTTTATAACATCCTGTAGGCTGTACCAGTCTGGGCAGTGAGTCATTTATTGCCCACTTTGTGATCTTTCGCTGTCCTGTTCATAATGGGAAATATGATTGAATTGTTTTTGTTTTTGTTTTTTTTCAGGTGTTGACATTTAAAGAAATTAACTGGCAAACGCTGCGAATCGAGGCAGACGCCATTGAGAGTGACGACCAGGACCTCGGCAGCACTCCATTACGTCTCATCACCAACCAGGGGCGCATTCGCATCGCTCTAAAACGCAGAGTAAGGCTGGATTTTTAATGCACATGCACCTTGCTTGTCACATGTGGAGTGATTTGAGATGAACACCCGTTGCTTTGTGAATAAGACTTTGACTTGATATTTATTTTCAGATAAAGGACTGTAACGTGCTGGCGTCCAAGCTGCTTTTCATTCTGGACGACCTGTTGTGGGTACTGACAGACTCTCAGCTCAAAGCCATCATTCATTACGCCAAATCTCTGAGCGAGGCCATGGAGAAGTCAGCCCAGCAGAGGAAGAGCATGACTGCTGAATCCTTACAGGTTTACTTCTTTTTCTTTTTTTTCTTTTATTTATTTATTTTTTTGTGGTTGTACAATTTGGTCAGTATGACAGAAAATACCTACTGTAAGAAACCTATCAGACTCCAGACAAATATTTTTTTTTGAGTCATTTAAATGTAGGCATTCCCCAATTCTGACTCCTTATTCAATACCTCCAAATCTGGTTGATATATTATTAACAGAATATGTCATTGTAGACCAAAACGAGATCAAGAATTATTAAAGATGCATGTTCTCCAGAAATGATGTATAAAAGGTAAATCACTAATAAAAAAGACCAATTCTGAGACATTTTAACAAACTTTTTTTTTTTTGGCTAATTACTGGAAGCGATACTGTTGATTAAAACGTCGTCTTCAGTACATTTCAATTTCAATTTCCTTTTATTTATTTATGTTTTTTTTTTTTTTTTTTACGATTTGATTTGTTCTGACCAATCCTGACTTCTTTTTGTGTTGTTTTTAGACCGCCCCTCCCTCGCCTGTGATCCACAGCCTCTGGACTGAGCCCCCGCCTTCCTCCACCAGCACCCCCAACACCATCAGTCAGTACTTTGATCTTTACGATGTCAAGGAGTCGTCCTACCACACCTTCATATCACGCTTGGACTTACACATATGCAATGACAGTTCTTCAGTGGATGAAGGTTAGAGGGCAGTGAATTCGCATATGCTATTCTCGTCGCTTTGTTTCTCTGGAAAATGCAGCTTGTGTTTAATGTCGTTACTAAAGATATTACACTTCGCTCATTATTTGGTAGGTAATTTGTTTTAAACAACTCTCATGTGATGCCACACAGATGAGCCTCCCCCGCCGGGCCTGCAGGGTGCAATGCAGCTAACCTTTAGGAAGCTGGGCTTTGACTACTATCCCATTCACAGACCTGGTGAGAGGAATGACTGATTCTTTTTGACTGTGTTGTAACTGCTCTTTCCCCCCTGAGGCTGTGTGATGGCCTCTTTGTAACCACAAGACTAGTTGCACAAGACTGGCTGCTGGGAGCTTCGCTGTTCAGGCAGACTAATGGCATCGGAAAGTGTGCCCAGTGTTATAATCCTCAGTGGAATATTTGATGTAATAAACAGTAGAGCTGCCCTCCAATCTTATTAGGTTGAGTTAAACAAAGTTCTGATTGCTTCGGTCAAAGCAGAAAGCATTTGCTCTTTCATCTTTGAGTGTTTTAGATGGACAAAAAAAAATCCACATTGTGGCCATTGTACATTCCCAAAAGTAACAAAGAGATATATGCATTACATTTTCTAGGACTCACAAAATTACAAACTAACCATTTCCAGTCTAAAACCTATTCCATAATGTTTGATCAGAGGAAAGTTTCAAGACCATTTGAAGCCTACCATTCTATAAAAAGAAAGTTTATTCACCCCATGAAAACATGTAAAACAACTTAGACTCTGATCTCCTTAGTCATATGGATAAATGTTTATATTTAAGACTATAAGTAGAAAAAGAATGATCATGCTTGACTTGTCTGTACAAATTAAAAAAAACATCTTGAACACCTTGCACTAACTGACTTCAAGATAAGTCTTTCTACTAAAACGATTAAGTCAAATCAGAGGCCCTCTCTCTGACCGGTGGAAGGCGGTGTGAACTGGAAACGTTAACACTAAAGCTTAGGGAGGCCTGGCGACCTGTTCAGGGTGTAGCGCTCCTCCATCGAGTGACTGCTGGAGATGGGCAGCAGTCATCCCCCAAATCCGTCCATCCTTTACCCCCCCGTAACCCTTGGTATTTATCTAAGCTCCGTAGGATATTTGTGTCCAAGCAGGCACAACTGTCTGTTTGAGTTTCGAATGATGGGTGAATCACATCTGCTCCTGGCTGTTGATTGTTTTTTTGCTCAGCTGACGGGTGCCGACACTGGGAACGCTACAGCGGAGCCATGGAGGCGCAGGCTCAGTGGGCGGGAAAACTGCTGCAGGAATACCAGAGAAGGGCCGAGGCCTGCGGTTTTCCAGGGCCGAACTCTGAGGGGTCGGCCAAAGATTCTCCTGCAAAGACTACCAAGGGTAAAACTTCAAAATGATTCCAAATATATTTTCTTTTTATATGTAGTAAATGCAAAAATAAAAAATTGAGAAATGGTACAAGTGCCAAAAGTTTTTTCAGGAAATGTGTCTTTCAGGACATATTTTTGGTAGGTTTTGACTATTTTACATCATTTCATCAAATAATCATAATCATTTCAACTAAAGTTGGTATTACAAGAGCTTTTAAGCTCACTTCAACTCATCCATATCCCCAAATGCGTCTCTCCTTCTCATCTGCAAACTTTAGATGGACAGACTAGCCCCAAGACGAACCCGTCTGACAAAGAGCAGGCGGCCAGCAGGACCTCAATAACCGCTTCTTTAAATTCAATCCTGAAGAGGCTGCGATCTAGCTGCGTGGTGATCAGGATGGATGATGTGGACATTCACCAGGCAAGTTTTTATCTCAAACTGACTCCATGTACATTGCATGCAGGCGCTTAATGGAGTCAGAAACCTCTGTAAGATGGAGTAAAACAGTTGGACACACATTGATGTTCATACCGGCTTCATAAAATGACAGAATCAACGCAAGAGTAATATTTGTGCTTAAACAAGTTGCTTTTTTTTTCAGGGGAAGAAAGTTGTACTAGCCGTTGCCTTTCCTGTCTCTTTCCTACCAGCGGTGTGTTCATCACTTGCAGAATTTAAGCTTTGCTCAGTCAGCAGCTTATAAGGCTTCTAGCTGACAGTGTGCACACAGAGAGCAAAGCTCCCCTTAGAGCAGCATCACACTGTCTTACCGGTGAACTTTGCAATTCAATGGAAAATCTGTGAAAAAACTCAGGGGAGCTTAAAGGACGGCATGGCAGTTGTTTTCATTTCCTTTATTATTGACTGCATCACTAGAAAGTGACTCTGAAAAATACCCTCTTTTGGTTGCCGTGGCACCTGTAACTTGACGAAACCCTTGACGACCACGATAAATGACGCAGTCTGCCCGCTTCTGCATTTTCAGCCGTGACTCCATCATAAATGAGAACGTCAAAGGTAATTTTGGTTGCAGGAAAGTTTTGGTTCCCCGTCTGATAAAAGCAAGAGATACCCGGGGGAGGGGGGAAGTCTGAACGCCCGGTTCCCACCTCTTTTTTTAGTTTCTAAAAGGAACTCTTAGATCTTCACTCTGTTTTCTGCTTGTATTCACTATTTGAATGATTTCTCATTTCTGCTCTCTGATCTATGAGCAAATAAATCCCAGTTTAAACGATATGTCAGTTAACGACTTAATCATCGTTCACTTAGGTGTCTACAAGGGGCCGTCACAACAAGAAGACTCATTCTTTAATATCCTGCAACCGGAAAGCTCTGCGTCTGCCAGACAACGTCCCAGCAGTTCACCTGCAGTTCACAGAGTATTACTTCCCTGACAACTCCAATTTACCAGGTACCTGCATGGCCCCTCTGCACTTTACATTGATATTTTACTGCATTTACTGATTAAAATTAACTGATTTCAGTCAAATTTGCTGAAAAATTATTTGTGCCCTTTTGTTATTTGATTTGCATTTTGATAAACCTTTTGATTTGTAATCTCAATAGTTTTTTTTAATCATCAGGTAAGTTCTGACCCCATCACTATAAGGTTTCTGAAGATCATTAAAAAGCTTAGTCTCACTTTAGGCCTCATTAGACTTCAATACAATTATATTACTATACTCTTAAATTACATATCCTCAAAAACTGATTAAAAGAGAAGATGAAAACTTGTTTTTAAAGACTGAACCACAAACACTGAAGAAGTTGCAGTTTTTGGCAAGTACAGGTTGTGTCGCACATGTGATAACGATTGGCTGTGATATCTGTAACCACAGATTAAGACGTAAACTTGGGGAATAAAAAAAAAAAAAAAAAAACATCCATTCCTAGTTTTGTTTCAAAACCTCAGGGGAGAATGTGTCCTGGTCTGGTGAAACTAAATGAACTTTTTGCCACGATTCCAAAATTTAGCAACTCCATGGTGGTGGTGAAACACGGTGGTCAGAGCATCATGATCTGGTTTTGTTTTCGTCTGATGGAACAAGGGTTTTAGTCACCGTGAGCGAAATTGTAGGTTATCGCAGCTATTTTAAAAAAAAAATGTTTTGTTTTTGTCACTAGTTATGTTTTTCTTTTAAATTGTATTGAAGGTGGTTTTATTTTTCCATCATAAAATCCTGGCATTTTAACAGGGATTTGCCAGCCAGTATGTTCTTACTTTGTTGTTTCTTACCAGAATGTTTCCTATTTTTTTATTTCTCCTCCCAGTCCCCACTTCAAATCTGTATGTCCAGTTGAACAGCCTGCAGCTGTGTGTGGATGCAGCCAGCTTGCTGTGGATCAATCTGTTCTCCAGGGGTCTTCTACAGACCCTGGACCAGGTCAAAGCATTCTACCATTTGCAAGACAGTAAAAAGGCTGAAGAGCACGTAGACATCCGCGTGGACGCAGCTCACGTTAAGGTAGACGCTTAACGTTTTCAGGATTTGTACGGGTGCTTGATATTCAAACGGCGTAGTTTTGTAATAAAGTTCAATCTGACGTTTGATTTGTAAAATGTTATTTACAGTTGAAACCACATATTTAAAAAGACACATGCACTTTTTTTTCTCACTGTCTGGGAATTAATTAGAATTGCCAAAATTATTTCTATTTCCTAAATGCCAGAAAACTTTGCAGGAACATTTTTCAAAACGTAGATTTCTGTTATATTTCAGTTTATCTTTTCCCTGCTGTAGAATGTAGAATTTAGTATAATACTAATAACATTAAAAAAACAATGTCATAACCTAGTGAATTGAAACTGTCTTCTTAAGTTTATTTGCACTGTTTTTTTCTGTGGCGATGGAAAAGTTTGAAAACTTACCTTAAAAATGCTTTAATTTTACTGTGGGAAAAAAAAGGGAACAATCCCTTCATTTTACTATTTTTTATAGGGTTTTGCTTTCTTTGTCACTCAACTTGCTTCAATTTGTATAAAAATTTAAACTGTGAATGTTTTTCATCTTTTCATAGCTGATTATACCTCTGGATTCTTCAATCCTGGACCATCCCGAACGCCCACAGTCGCTCTCCGTTATTGTCCCCCAGATGGTTTTCAGCAACACTCGCAACTGCCCTCACGGCTCCTCCGCTGACCTCAGCAGCACATGTGAAAAATTTACCAGCTGCCCTTTCTTCCAGTCGACGCCAACTTGTCCTTACCCCAGAGAACCGAGTGCCTTCCACCCCGTTCCTTCCACTTTCCTTCGGCACGCTCAAGAAACCGAGCCGCAGCCTCTGGACAGGAAGCACCTGCGATCCCAGGATATCTGGTCTCTCAGTCTGTCCCGCGTTACGCTGGGTTTCGACGGAGCTCGGCGATTCCCTAAAGGCAAAACCCAACCGTTTGTTGAGCCGTTCGCCATGTCGGTGTGGATGTGCCAGCCGTCTGGCTTTAAGAGTGAATCGTGGTCTTCCCCATCTGGTCCTCAGCAGGATGATGCCTCCTTTGCTTCTATCCACTTCCTGGCACACAGCATCACCCCACTAAAGGTGTGGCTCAATCACTACCAGTACGTTGCCCTGCTGAGGATGAAGGATGCCATGGTTCGACTGGGGGCAGAGTTGAGCCGGGATGTGCAAGGTGACAGACAAACTCCCGGCCGGAAATCCAAACCACCCACGGTTTGTCTTGCTCTTCTGGTGGACGCAGTGGAAGTGGGTCTGCTGTTGCCCCCCGCCACCGCTGCCCCAGAGGAAGAGCTTCCCCAGACTCCAGAAACAGACAGCCCCAGCATGACAGACTCCGACATTTCCCCGACTCATCACCCCGACGACGGCATCCTGGAGGACGGTGGTTTGGAAAACGGCATCTCCTCCGTCAGCGTGGCCGATCAGGAGGACCAAGATGGCGTGGTGGAGCAGGCTTACGAGGCCGTAGAGGAGGAGCAGGAGGATGCGGAGGAGAACCGACTGGCGACGGAGGAGACGTCCGGTCTCTCGCCTCCTCTCTCACCCGGACCCTCCCCAGTGATTTCTCGCGAATCGTCCACCTTCAGCCTGGAGGGGGAGCTGACTAGTGCAATCAGCGTCACCAAGGACGCCACCAAAGACGCCATCAGTGCCTCGCTGGATCTAACCAAAGGGGCTTTCTCCATAACGAAAGACGCCTTCAGCATGCTGAGCCGAGGCTCAGGCATGAGTAAACTGTTCAGTGCTCAGCCCAGGTGAGTCCTGTTGTTTTATTGAAACTCACAGCATCTTCCACGAGCATTTATATCCCGTGAATATTTCACATGGATAGTCATAACCGCTAACTTTAATGCATTTTATCGGAAATGTTTTTGTAAGAAATTTTGCAGTAAATATGAAGCAAGAAGGATTGTTCAAGGTTTTCAAATAATTTATTTCACAAATCAAGTTCTCGGAAGTATGTTGCACATTTTGTCTTCAGACTTGCCAGCTGCGCGTCTCTAAGGGTTTGTGTTTATCTGCATGTGCAGGGAAATGTTGGCCCATTCCTCTTTTAAAATATCTTAAGCTCAGTCAGATTTGATGGAGAGCTTCTTTGAATCTGCATTTTTGGATTCTCAGTTGGATTTTGGCCTGCAGATTGAGTGGCCTGTACTGATACATGAATACATTTGATCTGAATTATTCAATTGTAGCTTTAGCTCTGTGTTGTTGTTGCTGACACGATAACAAATTTTTCAGGGTGATAAGTTGTCCCAGTAATTATTGCAATAAACATTAATATTGTTGTTTTGAAAACAATAAGTAAAATACTGGTAATGGCATAATAATGCATGTTCCACCCTCTCAAAGACCAATAAACATTGTAAACAATACTTATCACTGGGAAGGGAACATATTTTAAATAACCAAAATAAAACACAACAGACAAAAAAAGTAAATAAAATGGAAATAAAAAAAACACATCACTGAAAGCACAAATAAAATGGAGTGTGATGTCAATGTAAACAAAATTGTTCTTCAAAAGATATTTAGCATTTGAATGGAAATTTCTGATCTCAGTTTAATTAATCTTGCGTGTGTTCTCAGGGAACTGAATCCGCGTTCAGAAGACTCCTCCCCTAATCCGCACCACCAAGCCTTGAAGCATTCGCACTCCCAGCAGTCCTTTGACAGTGCCATCTTGGAAGGGAGCCTCCCTGATGAAAACCTGTCTATTGATAGTGATTTCAGTGACAATTTTGTTGTTCTCATGGACTCGGGTATCTAAAGCCGCCAGGTCTCCTGATCATTTTACCCGAGTGATACGCAGGACGTCTGGTTTACGATTGCGTTGTGTTTCCAGAGTCCGGTGTGGAGTCTTTGCGGCCGAACAACACACCTGCAGGCAGCCGTGGAAGCCCCGCCCCGGGGACGGAGGGGGGATCGTCAGCTGATCTCAGCAGTTCTCTCTCTCAAAGCACTGATGACGTCTCTCAGGACTTGGTGAGTTACTGTCACCACTTTGAAACATGTTGATTGTTCCAGAAAGAACGAGTGGCTAACATATAACTTGCCACTTGAGCTCTGTGTGTGTGTGTGTGTGTGTGTGTGTGTGTGTGTGTGTGTGTGTGTGTGTGTGTGTGTGTGTGTGTGTACTCTGTCTTCCTTCACGCACATATAAACTGGTGATATCAAGGCCTTGATTGGATGCTTTTGGCAATATAGTGTGTTTGAGCTTTTCTCCATAATTTTGACTTTGTGAAAATCCTCCAAAGGAAATCTAACCTGTGTGTCCAGTTTGTAAGAACTACTGAAGTTGTCTTTGCACACTGGAAAATCAAACAGTTCAAATAAGTTGTTTTTGCAAAATTACAACATTTATGACGTCAATGCTCAGGCTGAGTTGTTATGTGACGTTTTCACAGGCACTGTACTTCAAAATGATGAAAAAGAATAATCAAATATAAATGTTTAAGAGTATAACATGACTTCTAATGAGGTGAATGACAGTCCTCAGTGTTGCTTCTGATCCTGAGTGGGACAGCGTGTACCGTGGAGGTACAGGGAGAAGACCAAGTAGTTGCTGTCCAAGCACAGAATTTAACCCCAGTGCAGCTGGGAAACGTCCGACAATCAGACGTCCTGGCTGGTCTCGTACAAGGTAACCTGAATAATCGTGGCTTTCCTCAAAATGATGCCTGAAATGTGTCATTTAAATGTTAAAAAAAGACTTTCTTTTAAGTTGCCTCCTAATACCTTTATGTTTGAACCCGGAAACAAAAACCCTGTGAAAAGATCAACCTTATTCTTTTCTTATGTATTATTATTATTATTATTATTATTACTACTACTATTATTTCTCTGTTTGCTAACATTCTATAAGTAATTTCAATAGTTTGTGAGTCTTCAAAGATTAATTGATATGTATGTCTTAATATCAGGCCACATTTGGATTTAAATTATGCTACGAGTGTTAAAGATAACTGATAAGACATTAAGATTTTCTCCTATTTTAGCATTTTTATTCTTGTCAAAAACAAAGTGCATGATCTCAAGCAGCGTCATGGTGAAGAGGATGCAGCTAACCTTGAATAAGCTAGAATTTTGCTCATGTTTTCCTGTATAAATAGGCTGCAGACAAATTATCCTCATCTTTGTTTGTGCAGCTGCAGGTGAATCGTCTCAGAGGCAGGACAGGCAGGGTTGCAGGAACTCTCCGGCGTTCTTGTTGCGGGCGGAAATGGGCCCGTCTGCGGCTCAGCGCTCTGCTCTGGATGAGTCTCTGGGCTTTCTGGATGTGAGACTTCAGGACTGCCAGGCAGAGTTTCTAGCCTCGACAGTAACCAACATCGGCCCTTTCCTTGAAGACGAGTTCAGTGTAGACGGTCAGCCAATAAGATTACACTTGTCCAACGTCACTGTAATATTGAAGGTAAGTCGATGATCTTGATCTACAAATTTTTATTCCTCAAAAGAAACATCACAACTTTTTGTGTCCAGCGATTTAAGATATGTTTTCTTTAGGACGATGGTCCCAAAATCTACCCCACCGCTCCCCAACCTGTCCCTGCCAAATTCATAATAGATCAGCTGCTGCTCCAGCGAAGCGACGATGGAATTATGAGAATCAAAGGTGAAGAAAACAGCAGAGGTTTAGTAAATAATTAATCTAAAAAGCGCAGACAACACAATCTGCAGTCACACCTTCACAGAAAGATGAACAGAAAACTCATTATCTCTTTCTAATTTCAGCTGAGGGTGCAAACACTAAACCCTTAGCAGGTGTTCCTGCTGCCGGGTTTGACACTTTTAATGGCGCCGACTCTGTCCAACAGCAAATTAAGGTGAGGAGGAAAAAACTACAACTTTTAATGGTTTACTAGAGAAAAATTGGGGGGGGGGGAAGCTCTTACTGATTTCATCTCAATACATTGTTTTTACATTTGAGAAAGTTTGTGTGCTCATGTGGAAGTCATTATTAATAGTTTTATTATCACACCTGTTGCATTTAAATCCACATATTGTGCAGCTTTGTGTCAAAATACCAGCTATTTTTTAACTAGAATAACGTTGCTTTTGCAGAGTCGAACACTGGAGAGCCAACTCTGGGACACTCAGGCTGCCCTCAAACAGGCCCTCACTGAAAGAAAGAGGCTCCTCCTGGAAGTAAGGAAGTACGACCCCACCTTTACGCTCTGATCCTCTGTAGACGCTGACCTCTAACCTCTGGGGCTGCTGCAGAACGGCGACTGGATGTCTCAGACTTGATGCTGAGAATAGAGCAGAGCTCAATTAAATCACCTCTAAAGATAAATCCAGGAAACCGGGGCGGTGGATCCAAACCATGGCTTCATATCACCTCCAGCTGGCTCACACAGTCCAGGAGGTTATAAACAAAAACCCCCAGAAGCTGTTACTAGAAAACCAGGGCCTGCTGAGTTCATTTTTAGGTACACAATGGTTCTTTTTTATTTCTGGCAGTTTAGATATTCATTCCTGATACACTTAATAGATTTGCTCTGGTTTTTATCTTAAACAAATCAGGGTGGTGGGAAGTCGTCGTGTGGTTTTAGTGTGAAACAAAGCATGCAACATGATCAAGCTTTAAATTTTTCCACTTGTTATCGTGTGCTATGGAATTGTTGCACAGACACTGCCAGACAGCTGCTAGTCCATCAGTCCCTTCTCTTACACTGCATGCTTAGTTAGCAGTGCTAATTCAATAATAATAATAAAAAAAAATGTAGCACATTTTTTTATTGACAGTTTTAGTGCTGGAATTGTGTCGTTAAGTTTTGTTTGGTGTAAAATAGGAAAAAAAAAAACATGCTTCATTTTGTTTTGAACAGTTTTGTGAAAGGTAGGTGAAAAAAATGCACTTTATTTCTAAAGCAAGCTTCCACTTCTTTCATGGGAAGTTTAAAGCATGTCAGTTTCCACCTTTTTCTCGGTGTATCACCAGGTGGGAAAGGTACACACTCATATCAAGCTCTCTTTGTTCTCACAGAGCAGGTTGGATTATTTCCCAGTGTTATTTTATTTTATTTAAAGTATTTCTTTTATACTGTGATGACTAATGTCCTCTGAGGGTGAACATCTACTGAAGACAGCATGCCTTACAGTCTGTCCCTTCCTCACATTTGGAGAAAATTGTTCACAGAGTTTAATCATCTGCTCTGGAGAGGTTTGTGATTGTGTCTCCTTAACATAACTTTGTAGCTTGCCAGGAAACAACTGATGAAACATGTGCTACGTTGGTGGACTTAGATGTATTTGTGTTATTTTACTTGACTATATTTATCTTTCATTTTTTAGTGTTTTTTTTTTAATCTCTTATTTCAAAACAATATTTTAATAAGTGGTACTGATGACGCGATAGATTAAATAACTGGAATAGTTGCTCTTTTGATCTGGATTTGTTGCCAATATTATTTCCTGCAGAAAATCTTGTACAAGAATGAATTTGAAAGTGGATAGATTTAGGAAAAAGAAGCCAACATTTGCTGTTTTGTTGAATCAGGGATTTTGTTTTAGTAAAAGTCCTATTTTTTATTTTTATTTTTTTTAATCTTTTGGCTCTAATTGTAAGGATACCTGGGAGACCTCTGGTGGCAGAAACGTGTCACTGTAGTTTCCGTTTCAAATATTCTAGCCAAGTTACTGAAAGTTGCATCTCTCAACACAGTAGAATATTATTTAAAACTTTATTTCAGCAATCCACTTTAGAAAGTGAAAAAAACATCTAAAGAGAGAGAGGAACAAAATACTCCAAAATGTCATAATAGACAGCTGCTCTTTGGGTTTAATTAAAAACCCAAAGACACACTGACAAAATTTAAATTTAAGCAGGTTGGATTCCATATGACATAGAAACAAGTATTTTCATCTGAAAAAAGAACCTTGGATCAGTCGTACGATATTTTTGCTTCGTCAAAATCAACAGAAACATACTCATGATATATCTTTCTCCTGATATATCTGTGACTCAGTTTTTGAACTGAGTTACTGAAATAAAGGAACTTTTCAGTGATATTTTAAGATTCAGCAGTACAGCAGACAGATCTGATTCTCTAATGACTAAACAATAGAAAGACACTAGTTTTACATGAAACCCGTCAAAGAAAGGAAATGCTACATGTTTTTCAACGTGTATTTTTTTCAGATGGCTATGTATCAGAAAGTTGTATTCTACACTCAGCTGCATGCAGACTCCAGAATAATCCTCAATATATTGGTGTACTAAAGCAGATATACTGCCCGTTTACCTCAATACACGTAGTCTTTTTCTATTACCGTTTGCCGTTTTAGTTTCTGCATGGCCTTAATGGACAAAGATGTTCTATGCTGGATGCAACATGTAGCTTTGAAGTTTCCTGTAGTTCCTCTGTGAAACCTTAGTATTAAGTAGCATCTCTGTTTTAATGAAAAACTGGAGCTTTTGAGTCAAATTCCTACTAAAACTGTTACACTAGACTTCCTTTGCGGTCCACAATAGGCCAGTGGTTTCCATGACAATGTAACTCACTCACTGTGCCATGCAAAGAGGAGAAGCGGAAAAGTAGAGAGTTACAAGGCGTTTTCTCAACCCGGGATGCATGTGCTGAAGTGATTTTTTTTTTTTTTTTTTTTGTGAAGTTTATGCCTTGTTGAATTACTTGCACCGGTGAAGTCAATTCACGGGAACTTACACTCGTTTTGATGTGAATCACTTCAAAAAGAATGCATACGAGTCATTGTGGAAATGTTTAAAGTGGTGCAGAAAAACTGGACAGTATGGTTTTTGTCGTTTGTGTAAAAGTACAATGGCTTTATGGTACTCATCACTCCATCAATGACTAATGTCAAACTGGTTCTGTGAACCAATGAGAGAATGTTGAGACGAAATAAATTACTAAAAACATTTTTGATGTGAATTTATTGTCTTTTCTCGCAGTACCTGCTGCTCTCACGTACAGGCGTGTTTCAATTCAGCTTTATGTTGCAATCAAAATCTAACAATAAGCAAAAACATGGAGGACAATTAAAACTGCACAACATCCTGAACTCACAACCCTCACAGTGAAACATGGTGGTGGCAGTATTATGCTGTGGGTACACTTGCACAAAGGCCTCATCTAAAAATGGAAAGACAGGAGGGTTGGAGTCTCCCCATTTAGATCAAAGCATATTCTTTTTAAAGAATGGCCTAGTCAAAGTTCATACTTCAAATGTATGCACACTTCCAACTTTTAAAAAAAAAATCATTTTATTTTCATTTGACAATTACCTCATATGTGTTAATCTGTCACAAATTAATAAAATTATTAATATAACTCAATTTCAGTTTGTGCTTGTAACATGACAATGCGAAAAAGTTCAAAGGCTGCAAATACATTTGCCGGCGGCTGAACTCACCACCCACATATTAACCAAAGAGTAGTAAAAAGGAAAATATATAAAACTTATATTTACATGTTTCAACAAGTATTTAACTTAATACATAGAGCCTTCCAGCAATGTACTTTTACAGACTCTGAGCTACATCAATAATTGTGAGCAGCCTCTGGATGAATCAGAGGTTTTCCCACAACGGTTTTAAATATCACCAACGTCCTCGTTCATCCTGCAGCTCGAGTGGCTCAGTGAAACAGGATGTGCTTGTATTTGGAGTTGGGAATCTGATCTCGACTCTTCAGCCTCCTAACTGCTTCCCTCAGGTGTTTAGGCTGAAGTGGTGGCGTGTCTCCCCACTTCTCACAAACATCCAGAGCTAGAAAAGAAAAATAACATTGATAACTACATAATAGTCCGTTTAAAAAAAAAACAAAAAAACAATTGTGTGCTTTCGGATTGTTTTGTAAACCATCCACTCACCTTCCTCAACAATCTCCCCGACAAAAACCTTGGCGATACCAGACATGGCAATAACCACATTCTGGGAAATTGATGACCCGGTTATCGACTGGATCAGCTGAAATGTGCAGATCATAAAGCCGCCATAAGAACCTCCGGTTTGCAGTTTTGGAATAAATGTCAGTTTTAATAACCAGCTCACCCTCTTAATGGCAGCCTTAGGGAAAGCGGAACGTCTGTACATCTCATAGCGATTGAGCTGCTCTTCAGAAAACGACGACACCAAAACCCTAAATAATGCAGGAGGGAAAGAGGGCAAAGATGGATCAAAAAGGACACTTTCGGTGAAGTTTGTAAAAAGAGAAGTGGTCTTCCGTGACAGCCTTACTGCATCTTTTGTATTTCATCCTCGTCGACCTTGTGGCGCTTCTCTTTTTTCTTTTCTGGCTCCACCTTCAGTCGCTTAGAGGAAGGCTGACCGGAGGTTCCCTCTTCTTCGTCGTCTGCTGCCGCTTCAGTTTCCTTCAGAGTGCAACAAAAAACATGTTGGGTGAAAATACATTGAGAACAATGGTATTAAATAATATTTTCTGTATATTATAATCCAAATTTCTGCACTTTTAAAAACTATTTCCACTGCAATGCAGGCACTTAACTCTTATTTATGGTTAACTCAAAATATTCAAAACAGAACAAATTTTGTTAGTTTAGTTTTATATTGTCATGAAGTCAATTTCTCCAAAGTCATCTACATGAACTTCTATAACCCTTGGGTTCAATCTCCAGTGATATTTGTAACAACTTCCTTTCTTCATAAAGTTAGCTCGGTCAGATCATTTATTTCATCCTCTCCATATAGCCGCTCTGTCGCTCGGCTGTCCTCAACCAGTCTGAGCCTGTCTCACTTAATATGTTTACAGAAGTGAACACATCATATGAAACCCTCAGATTCCCCTCCTGATGAGGAGCCCCGCGTGTCTTTTTAAAAGAGTTTCAGAGCGTCAAGTTTTCATCATCATATACGGCAGATGCTTTTACTAAACAAGCAGTAGTGAATCCACTTACAGAAAAAAAAACAAAAACATATTGATCCCCCAGTTCCATAGGAACATCAGACCAATATCGAACATGTTGATATTGTGTGGTGAGTCGTTCAATTTTGCATACGTACATCATCATGACACTTTTCTTAATCCTGTCTAAATTTTATGGTTGGTAAATTTCTATCAAATAATTATTGGAGGAGTATTTGTTCTTTTTTTGTGTCGTATTTTGTTTCGTGTATCAACCAATCACAGTCAAATTTAGAGTTTGTTGATCTACTTCAAGAAGATTCAAGAAGTCTAAGCTAACAGGCCATATTTTATTTTTTTTTAAAGCGTCATTTGTATATGTGACTTTTTTTGACAACATTTGGTTCATAAAAAATGTGAAGAAAATGTGACAAAACAATGAAGATGTACATTTGAACATGTTAAAGCTGTGTGACTATTAACTTTTGCTTAGTTTCATCACTGACACCTTTTAATCCAATCTAGACTCAAGTATCAGTTAATTTTTACTTAATCATTTAGTGGGAGCATTCAATCACAGATAGGGTCACATCTAGCAACGGGGTCAAGCACAGCTCCTCACTAACACAGAATTTCTGTCATCTCCTTGCTCCGGGTCGCTTTCAGCAGCTGGCTAAATCACTCTTATGCAAGGATTTCTTAGGAGATTTTAGGATAAGACAGGAGCTTTCTGACAGAACTCTGAGAATCTTTCAGATTACAAGCCCTGCTATTTTGATGCAAGAAATCTCCTTTGTTCATGCCATCTCGGATCTTTTCAAAAATATGTTCCCTGAGGATAAAACTTCAGATTTGTTTTAACCCTTGTCCGTGCGAGGACTGAGTCAAGTGATATGGGTGTGGGGTCGGTTGGACCCCATTTGTAAACACAAGGGTTAAAACAATTATTAGTACTAAATGTGGTGGGCGTAAATCTCATATGTTTCTGAGATATATATATATATATATATATATATATATATATATATATTTTTTTTTATCATCTGCCTCTTTTATGTGGGATTCGACATAAACCTCTCAATCCATCTCGCCACCTTTTCCGTCAGGGATCTCATTGAAATCACTTTGGTTCATCACTATGTAAAGTATGATTTACTGCTACTTGACTTGTTGACGTTTTAGAAACTTTTTAAAAACTTAAGTAACTTACAGTCTTCAAATCTTTGAGATGATCCTGCGTAGACAGCTCTTTGTTGTCATCTGCAGACATCTCTGCAGAAGTCTCCGGAATGGGCTCATGTTCTGTCTTCGGGCTCTCCTCGTTGATAAAGCCCTCTTTTTCAAGTGAACCTTCTGTTTTTATCCGTGCAGGGTCCGCCATAACTCCTCAGATTCTTCCAACACAGCTGCTCTTTACAGCCTACACTGATACAGAGGAGGCAAAGCACTGATAAAATGAACCTGTAGCTTTTTTTATTATTATTATCTAAGATAAAAACGCTCAAACAGAACTTGGTCTGGGAAACATTTGCTTAAAAGCTAGTCAATGAGCTAACCGTTAGCTGTCGAACAAGGTGTCGTAAGATAGTTGATTCTAACACTTGACTAAAAAAAACGCTGCTTTGATGCAGAAAAACACAATTTGTTAAATCAGGTGTGAAATAACGACCACATTAAAAGTAACAAACTGTAGCAAGATTGTGCAAGTTCTCAGCTACCGCCTGCTAATGCTCTTCCTCTTAGCTTTATTTCAGTGAAATGGTGTTTATTAACTACGCACTGGGTGCATTACCGCCACCACGCGGATTGGAGTGTCACTTTCTTTCTCCGTTAACGAAAGAAATAAAATATTGGGGGTATTTGTGTGTAGAAACACGTTTTATTTTTGGATTTCAAAAACTCCCACCAAAACTTGAAGAAACATCCTGTTCTTCCCCTCTCAGTAGGTATACTTCATACAAAACCAGCATAACATTTTCATGAATCTCTTCATCATGAAAATTACATTTCTCTGTGTTATTAGAATACAATAGAATACAATAGAAATATTATTTATTGTCCCACGGTGGGGAAATTCATAAGTACCAGGAGCAATTTTCCGGTAAATGGCAGTATGTATTTAAACTGAGATATAAAATGTAAGAAAATAACAAACTGTAAGAGACACATAACAGACTGTACAGTAAGGGCAAACTTACCACAAAAGAAGAAAAAGTGTACCTAGACAGCGCGGGGTAGTATCTAGTCATATTTACTCAGTTACATTAACTTGAGTAACTTTTGAAAAAAAAAAAACACTTAGGAATAGTTTTACTGCATCTTTTACTTGAGTAATACTTTTATGAAGTACCACTACTCTTACTTGAATAACATTTCTGAATAATCTACATACTTTGATTAGCTTCACAGAACAAAGAACAGATTTTAACTAAAAATGTATGAGACACAGACACACATAACATTTAAGTGTGAC